GGGCCCTTATTATGACATGACCTCGCAGGCAAGAAGCTTATTCTGTTTTATTCTGTATCTGTTTTCCAGTTACTCGGTTTCCTCAAGATGTTGCTTGAGTAAAATGGAGTAAAACATTAAAATTTTATTATTATAGAGAATACTCTTGAGTTTATTTCTTACTAAGAGCAAACTAACCAATTCTACATTACTCTAATCCTAAGAAGCTATGTTGAGGGTATAGATTCAGATTTGGCTAATATTTATTAAGCACCATCCAAGTGCCATACATTTTACTAAGGGATTTTAATAAACTATATTTCAATATATTATAATATTATAATATATATGTATTCAATCATCACAAACCTTGTAAGGTAGCAGACTCTTCTTCAGGGGTGAAATTTTGCTTTCTTCAGGTCATAAAACTGACAGTCACACTCGTAACCATCTATTTCAGTTTTACCTGCTATTGTGCTAACAATTTTGCCTACATTGTCTTATTTAATCTGCACAGTAATCTTATGAGGTAGATGGATTCAAATCCACCTTCACAAATGAGGGGCCTGTGGTCAAGAGTGTGTGGTGACTTCCTTAAGATTATGCGGTGAGCTGGTCTGGGGACAGTTTGCTCCAGAAGGTGCTGGAGCCAGAATTCTAGCCCAGTTTTCTTAGCATTTCTTTCTCTAACTTGTGACGTGGTAGTGCATGAAAGCAGACAGATCTGCCTCGGTGGCTGTTTCTGGCTCATAGATACCCGTCTAGCTTTTGTATATATTTCTGATGGTATAGTTGCTGCTAATGTGTAATGCAGAAGAGTTGTGAGGTAGTTCTAGAGCAAGGTACTGTAGGGTAAAGAAGGACAACTTTACAGGTGCAATTGGAATTTCTCATGCAGGAGGTATACTAACACTGACATGCGGATGTCACCTTTTTTTCCCCTGCTCACAGCTCCTATAAGTCTGATCTTTTGTAGACCTCTCATTAAACATACGGGGGAAAAGCCAGCTTAAGATAGAACACTCAAAACCACAGTTTTAAATGTCTGTTACTAATGACATTCATTCCCCTGTTCCAGAGGATCAGCTAGAATTTGATACACAGGAAGGAGGATCAAGAAGTGAAAATCCAAGGAACATAAAATGATCAACCTGTGAAAACTCCCTGAAACCAAGTATGGGACACAGACTGTCCCAGTGACAATTGGCTAATTCTAACTTAGCCAGCTTCCTAGGGCAAAGAGTTTCTTTGCTTCCTAAGCCATGGTGCTGAGCAAATAGTGAAGACACAAAGTGCAGTGTGTTTATGCTTTTCTATTTGATCTTTTCAGAATCCTAATTAAGGATATTATGAATTCTATATACATAGATCATTCTGCACTTGGTTGCCAAAATACTTGTACTGTATGTATCTGGATCCAAATGGTGAACAATGGCTCTCGTAGACCAAGCTCCCAATTGGAATTGATCATTCTCTCTTCTGTGAGTTTAAAGAAATTTACTTTTAGTCTTATGTATGGACTCTCCCATATTCTAATATGTATTTACGGAAGTGCTTGTTTACATATTTACATATTACATATCACATATTTACAAGTCCTTCTCTTGAAGCAGCTACATACTAAAATAAGTAGGAAAAGTGTATACTTTTTATTGTTCTGTTGATAGTAGTCGTGGGATTTTGAGAGCCAATATGCTGTAATAGCTTGTCTCAGAGGAAAACTGAAAAGATAAAAGAATTTAGAAAAGTAGAATTGATGTGTACCTAGAACTTGAAAGTAGTCCCTAAAAGTTCAGATTGGAATCCTAGTTTATTGTTCACTGGTGGTCTTTATTATGTCACTTATCTCACCAAAAGAAGAGTATATCTTGGATATCTTTCTCCCACACTCTTATTCCTTGCTTTTATGTGGAAAAGTATGTTTTACAATGACCTTCAGTGTCTTATGACAGGAAGCTCATAAAACTGCATCAAAGAATCTTGCTCAGGAAGAGCAGCTTCCCAGACACCATCTGAATAGTGCCTGTGATTTCACATATGCTGCTTTCTTTCACATATGCTCAGACCAATCAGACATTTCAGAGGGCAGTTGAAATTCACATCATCTAACACTGGAAAGTATTATCCCACCTTGAATTCTTTGGCCACAAATATCAAATGCTGGCTAGGAAAAGAAAGAATGCTGAACAAGATTTGGGTACCAATTCTACTTCTGGTTGACTCTCCTTCAGTCCTGGGCACGAAACCTGGCATGTCTTGTGTCAGAGTCCCATTCAGCATAAAGCAGTTGTAAAAGTATAGGTGTTACTTGCTCTCATGTGTTTTTAAATGAGCAAATGGATAATGTAAGAAAATGTACTGTAGACATTTTAGAATAAAATAGTACTAAAAATCTAGGTTTTGTTAACAAAAATGTATAACATCTTCTTCCTTTTGGGAATGGACTCAATGTTTGGTTTTATTGTTGGGGCCAAGCATCTGTTAGCCTATGTTGATTCTTTCTGTGACCTGTAATGAAACAGAATAAGAAAACAGGCTGCACATGTGAGTGTTTCACTGAGGAAATAGGGATGGCCTAGCAATAGCTAGCTTTAGATTAAAAGTTTAACAATTCTAGAAACTTCAAAGATCAGAATAGATTCCAAAATTGAGAAAGACTAGGGCTCTAGCTAAATATTTTCTCCCTTTTACTTGTTTTCCTTATTTCATTTTTTTTTGCCTTTATCCCTCATTCATATGGAGCCACTAAATGGCCCCTAGTCTAGCCTCATTTATTGACAGTAAACAAATATGCCATGTTATCGAAGTATAGGTGACAAAATTATAATGTATTTAAAGTGTACAAAATGGTGATTTCACATATGTATACATTATGAAAGGATTCCCACCAAGTTAATTAATACATCCATTGCCTCTCATTTTTATTTTATTTTACTTTATTTTATTATTTTATTTTGTTTAGATCCTCAGACCTTATTCCTCTTATAACTGAAAGTTTGCATCCTTTTACTAACCTCTTTCTATTTCCCTATCCACCACCCACTCCACCCCCTGCCCCTGGTGACCACCATTCTACTCTCTATTTCTATGAGTTGTACTTATTTTTTATTTTATTTTATTTTTTTAGCTTCTACCCATAAGTGACACCATACAATATTTGTCTTTGGCTGGCATATTTCACTTAGCATAATGCCTTCCAGATTCATCCATGTTTTTGCAAATGGCAGGATTTCCTTTTTTTTTTTTTTTTTAAGGTTGGATAGTAAACAAATATTTTTGAGTTCCTGTCAGTTTAGTGCTGGACTGGGCAGCTTCAGGGAAAAAGCAATGAACAAGACCTGCCCTTTCTGTTCTGGATCTTATATTCTAAATTTCAACAATCATATGAATCTGTTTGTTTCTCCTTGAGAGTGTATGTTGGTAGGACCTAAAACATGACAAACTGAAAAGACAGTCTAGGGGCTTGTGAGTAGGAGGGGGTCAGATAAGAGGGGACCAAATAATAGCAATTTGGATGTTAAATGTGATGCTCAAGGACAAAACCTAAATGTCATTTTACAATAAATTAGGGATATTCTCTGAGTAACAGTTTATTGTATAATATAAATATATAAATATAAATATAAAACTTCAGGGGTGCCTGGAGGCTCAGTCAGGTAAGTGTCTGACTCTTGATTTTGGGTCAGTTCATGATCTCGCCATTCTTGGGGTCGAGCCCCGCATCAGGCTCTGCACGGGGCAGGGAGCCTGCTTCAGGCTCTCTGTCTTTCTCTCTTTCTGACCCTCCCCACTCTCTCTTAAAACAAATAAACATTTTAAACAAAACAAAACAATCAGAGCTCCTGGATGGCTGTCAGTGAAGCATCAGACTCTTGGTTCAGCTCAGGTCATGATCTCATAGTTCAAGACTTTGTGCCCTATGTCAGGCTCCTCACAGGGAGCCTGCTAGGGATTCTCTCTCTCCTTCCCTCTCTCTGTCCCTCCCCCACTCACACTCTTTCTTTCAAAATAAATAAACTTTAAAAAACCAAAGGAAAAAAACTCCTGTAATAGGAAAAAGGCTTATCTGATTTTAAAAAGTTTTAATTATTGAACACTTTAAATACTATGTTTTTACTTTAGATTCATAATTTCTTTTTAAATTGTTTAATGTTTATGTATTTTGAGAGACAGAGACAGAGTGCAAGTGGGAGAGGGGCAGAGAGAGGGGGAGACATAGAATCTGAAGCAGGCTCCAGGCTCTGAGCTGTCAGCACAGAGTCTGATGCAGAGTTTGAACCCATGAACTGCCATATCATGACCTGGGCCAAAGTTGGACGCTTAACCGACTGAGCCACCCAGGTGCCCCTAGATTCATAAATTTTAAAATAATGAAATATTTCCAAGAGGAGGGTTAGTTTAACAAATAAACCAAGGTTCCTCCAAAAGCAACCTCTTAATAAATCTACAAATCATGGCAAATTATGTGAAAATAATTTTTAAACTTAGATTAAACCTTTATTACCATTATATTTATATAGTTTATTATGTGTTTGAAAGATTTTTAATTTTCCCACATTTTGCAAAGATATAGTTTCTCATATACAGTCCAACTTTTCAAATATCTCAAATTAGTTAATTCTTAATCAGTGAAAATCCATTTTGTGAGATCACATGAAGCCAGTGATCAACATACTTACTTACTAACATCCATTTCTTCCACCAGGCAAAATATACTGCTTTTAAATTATAGAGACGTTTTATTTTTCTTCTTCTTTTTTTTTTTTTGGAACCTGAAGCAAATTGTAATACCATTTCCTTAAATGTTTGCCATTTTTTCTTATCAGATTAAAGTGCAACAGATATGTCTGAATCTTTGCTAATTTTATCTAGATGAAAGGTGAATACAATTATAGTAAAGAAAAACTCATTGTGCTTTATGGTATTGTGGAAGACATTTTTAGTGCCTGGCCCAGCTTTTTTAGATTTTGAGTTATGCATGTAGGTCATTTTTATGGTAAAAGATTGTCTTTTCCTTACAGTTAATATCTCAATATCCAATGACACTACATTGGCACCAGAGGACTTGCCAACTGTTTCTTCTACTGACATGGTAAGTGACTTAATGATTCAAACCCCTTGTGTAATGTATAATCTAATTATAATATGCATAACATGATGTCTCCTACCCTTTAGCAACCTGAACATGAACACAACTTTAATAATCAGTGATAGTGGAGGGACAGAATAAAAACACTTTCCTTGTTATAGTCAACCTTTCCTCTTCTCTTCTCTTCTCGTCTCATCTTGTCTCTTGTCTCTTTTCTCTTTTAAGTCAAGTGAATATTTACTCCTACTACATTTTAAACCTTCTTAGGAATTTAACTGCTATATCATTCATTGTCACCTTGAAATATTTTCACAAGGGAAAGGGAGAGCAGTCGAAAAAAGAGAGCATGGTATCCTCTCTATGTCTAGTACAATTAAAAATCCTCCTGACTACCAAATGGTGTTGCATTCTCCTCACTAAGGGTGATTGTAACAGGACATTTCCCCTGTCACTTAAAAAGGACTGTGCCTCTGTCACATGATATCCTTTCCCATGGCTTGTAACCAAGGCTCTTTAAAAGACTAGAACTAAGCTTTAAAAATGAGCTGTTTTGCATGGAAGGTCACACGCTGGAAGGAGACTTTTGTTTTGGAGAAAAAGGGAAAAGTGCTATTTCAGCCTTCTAATTGTGTTCCTTCTATGCTGGGTATGGAATCTTACCAAAGAATATCAATCTCTCAGTTATAAAGACAGAAACCATAATACCTTGTATTGATAGAGTGCCCATCTCTCAGGAGACCAGAACAGTTCTGCAGATATTATGTAATGAGTGCCCACAACACCCTTTCAAAGATGATGTTTTGTATCTTTCCTGGGCAACTCTCACTTGACCCTGTTTCTCTCTTGTTTTCATATTATGTAGCTCTCTTGACTTTTTTTCCTTGCTGTTAAAGTTTTCTCTGATTTCCTCCAAACTTTGCCTCTTTATTTGTGTTTGATTGTGTGTGTGTGTGTGTGTGTGTGTGTGTGTGTGTGTGTGTGTGAGTGAGAGAGAGAGAGAATGTATATATATTTTAAAAGCCACATACAGAAAAGAGATCAGTTGTCAGCCTTTGAGCCAGCCATCCTATTGCCTAAAATAATCTGATTAAAATACAGAGAAACAGTTCCTTCTAGACTTTAAATAATTTTAATTAAAGTCTAATTAAAAATTTAAAATATATATAATTAATTAAAACCATAAGTTAATTTGCAGTAAAAAATTAATGAAACACTTCCACTGACTTAAAAAGAGATTATGTCTAACTTAATTCTTTTTGTAACTAATCAAGGAAAGCTTTAGAATTAATGAATTTTTAAGCCTTGTCTTTGGGCAAATTTGGAGTGACTCTGTTAATTGATATAGAATAATAATAAGATGCCATTTTAAGATTTATGGAAAACAAATGGAAGTTAACGTTGACTTCTGGTACGACTATGCTAGAGGATATAAAGGCACAATAATGATTACAATTTACCTATCATTTATAGGGCATCTAGTAGAGATAGGTGTCTTACACGTATTCTAACCATTAACACAAACTACCAGGTGTAATTATGCTCATCTAATAGATGAGAGAAACTGAAGCTTTAGAAGGTAAATCACCTTTCATGCTCTAGGTCACATAGCCATAAATTATTAAAACAAAGATTTCAGCTGAAGTCTGAGTGGTTCTAAGACCTGCGGTATTTTTAGTACACCATGCTACCTCAGTGTTTGCAAGTAGAAATGTTCCCCTTTCAGTTCTTAGAAATAGGCTGTGCTCCAGGGCCATGGTCCCCTCATGTGTGTATCAACTGTGCACCTAATTAAAATGCTATGTTGCTATGTTCAGCATCTCTAGAGAAGAAATTAGGAAAACGTGTGTACATGTGTGTATGTATATAATTATGAAGGAAAACTTTTATTCGGTCCTTCATTCTTCCTTTTCTATCCATATCAATGCCTCTAGGTACACTTTGCATAGATACACGCACACATAACCACATACACACAATTTGTATGAGATCAGAAATGAATATTAAAGAGGTAATATGATTTACTATCACAAGCAATAACTACCATTTGTTGAGTACCTGCTAGGGGCCAGACTCTTCATATGACTTGTCTAAAATTCTCACAATAACTTCTAAGTTATTTTGTGGATGAAACAGGAGCTTAGAAAGGTTAGCTATCCATATCGTCAGTACCGTAAAATCAGGATTTGGACTCGGGGCTTTCTAATTCTAAAATCTGCCTATTTGCATTACTCAAGGAATCAGAATAGTGTTTCATGTAGAAGGACTTACAGATAGTGATTTCTCATGTCATACTGCCCCATTTCATATTCAGGGCTTCACTAAACAGGTTGTGGTAACTTCCCAGTTTCCCATTTGTATAATGGTGATGATCATAGTACTTTATCTCAAAGATCTTACAGAAATCAAAAGAGTAAATAGGCAGCACTTAGAATAGTGACTGGCACATAATCATCTCTGCATTCAGGTTAGATACTATTATTATTCTATGTAAGCATTATGATCCTTCCACGAGGCCATGTCGCCGCCATAACTCAGGTTCGAGGAGGAAAGAAGTTGGATGCCACCACTCTGACAGGTGACTGGGCCCTGTCTGTGTTTGGTCATGCTAGCTCTGCTTCCCTCAATCTTTCCCGGAACATCTAGTCATCAAGGATTTAATTTCCTTCTTTTATCCAGCCATAATTAGATTATGAAAGAAAGTGCTGTAAAAGTAATGTGTGGCCCTGAGGCACCATCAGGGCTCCCTCTCACAAGCCTCAGAGAAATCTCTGTCAGAGGAGGGAAGGCATTTTCTCTTCAGCTTCATAAGCATGAAGACAGCTTTTCTTTCTGCATAGTAGCATGGGTATGTTTTCAGGAGGGAAGAGCAGGAAAATGGGGCATTAGAGCATTTAGATAGATTGGAACTTTAGAATAACCATCCCTCAAGATAAAAAGGCAGGTTTTCCATTATTTCCATTCATTGTTGTAATCATTTCATCTTTAATTTGTCTCACCTTCACCAGTGTTCCTGTAGGTTTATTGGTGAGCATATCCCCTCAGCCTACAGACAAAATTCTGTGAAAGGTTCCTATGAAACTTTGAGACCAGCCACAGCTTATCCAACTTTTATCAACACAATGAGCCTTAGGCTTAGGAAGCCTCTGATGGCTTCCACTTACGACTCTCAGAGGGAGAGACCAGATTTCACGATGGAACATCAAGGCTTTTCCAGGGAGGTGACTGAATAGATTAGTTACTTTTTTTCACATTAGATGCTTTTTTAAAATGATTATTAAATTGAGGTATATTTTCTCACGTGTTCATTGCAGTGAGTTTTGATACTTTACATACTCATGTAATCATCACCCAAAACAAGCTGCATATAGAACAATGCCATTATCCCAGAAAGTCCCATGGGGAATACTCTGTGTCCTTTTTTATGCCTCAGCTTCTGAGCCATGGGAGACCTTTCTTTGCCCAATTGCTCTGCCCCAGCCTTCAGAGGGGAGAAGCTTTAGCCCTTTCAGGAGTACCTGAATGCCTCAGAGGACTTCTTCTTCCATCTTAGGAAAGTGCCTTTCTTACATTTGGTAGGGACACTGTCTAAGGGGGGATTTCTCTCAGATCTCCTATCTAACTTCCCACCTTTTATGTACAGCCTGTGAACTTGGCAAAGACGTTGAGGAAGTTTGGCTGGTTGAATGCAGGCTTAGTCGAACACCTAGGGCTCCTTGGAATTCTGGTCTGTCACCCAAGTCTACATGTAGCCATTTAAAACTCATTAAAGATTTGGCTTATTTCTCCATACCTCCATCTACAGTAGATTTATCTTTCACGGGACACTCCGACAGGCATGAGGAAGCCATGGATCTTTTCTCTCTTCCAAGAAGGCCTTGTAATTTTTTAGAATTTATTCAAGTTTATTTATATCCTTGTCTCTCGTGGATTTTTTAAAAACTGATTTTATACCTTGTCCAGCTTGGTTGGGTAGGTTGGAAGTTACTGTTTACTTTTTTTTTTTTAAGTTTTTATCTAAATTCCAATTAGTTAACATGCAGTGTAATATTAGTTTCAGGTGTACAATATAGTGATTCAACACTTCCATATGACACCTAGTACTCAACACAAGTGCCCTCCTTAATCCCCATCGCCTATTTGATCCATCACCTCCGGTAACCATCAGCCTGTTCTCTATACTTAAGAGTCTGTTTCTTGGTTTCCCTCTCCTTTTTTTCTTCCTTAGCTTGTTTGATTTGTTTCTTAAGTTCCCCATTTGAGTGAAAGCATATGGTATTTCTCTTGCTCTGACTGACTTCCTTTGCTTAGCATAATACTCTATCTCCTCCCATTGTCCCAAATAGTAAGATTTTGTTCCCAAATAGCAATATTTCATTCTTTTTTATGTCTGAGTAATACTCTGTTGTATATATGTATACCACTTCTTTATCCGTTCATCAGTCAATGGACATGGGCTGTTTCCATAATTTGGCTACTGTAGATGCTGCTGCTATAAATACTAAGGTGCATATATCTCTTTGAATTAGTATTCTTACATTCTTTGTAGCAGTGAAATTGCTGAATTGTAGGGTAGTTTTATTTTTAACTTTTTGAGGAACCTCCATACTGTTTTCCAGAGTGGCTGCACCAGTTTGCATTCTCACCACCAGTGCAAGAGGGTTCTCCTTTCTCCACATCCTTACCTACATTTGTTGTTTCATCTGTTGATTTTAGTCGTTCTGACAGATATGAGGTGATAGATATCTCATTGTGGTTTTGATTTATATTTCCCTGATGATGAGTGATACTGAGCATCTTTTAATGGGTCTATTGGCCATCTGTGTATCATCTTTGGAAAATTGTCTATTCATGTCTTCTGCTCATTTTTTACTAGGTTATTTATTTTTGGGTATTGAGTTTGATAATTTCTGTATAGATTTTGGATACTAGCCCTTTACCAGATATATCATTTCCAGATATCTTTTCCCATTTCATAGGTTGCCTTTTGCTTTTGTTGATTGTTT